CCCAAATCGCCCCAAATCATTTTAATGTTGTTTCTCAGATATTTGATGGTCTCTGATGGGGCAACTCGTCAAAATAGAATCCTGGTGGTAAAATTACTGACCGGAAAAGTTTCATTCTGTTTGTCTGTTTGTCTGTTTGTCTGTCTGTCTGTCTGTCTGTCCGCACGATAACTCAAGAAAGAATAGGGTGTTCCAGGCTATCTAAAACGGAAGTGAAAAAGAACAAACTCACCGATCAGTCTGTTTCCGTCTGCTCGGTATGAGAAATTGCCATGGTAGTTTGGTCCGATTCTAACCTCTCAAATATGGAGGCGACCTCGAAACTGACCTGACAGTTTTTCATACCTGAAACGCCGTCGTGACACGTGATCATCTCAACCAATCAGAGCCATCACGGAAGCAGAAAAGTCAGTGAGTTTGTTCTTTTCCCACTTCCGTTTTCGATAGCCTGGAATACCCTATTGAGAGAGCGATCTGGGAATTTCAGGGTCTTTTTGTATCATAAAAAGACAGATCGAGTTCGAAGATGAGCACTCTAGCTCAAAAATTGACTTTTTTAAAAATCAAACAGCACATGTTGCAAAATAATTTTTTTTCAAATATTTTTTTATGGGCTCCTAAGAGGTAACTTGTAAAAGTAGAACCCTACGGGCGAAAATTTCGTCCGTTTTGCTCTATCTTGTACAGTTTCGGCGCTATGGGACATTTCTTGGCGAAAACAACGTGAAAAAGACTAAATGGTGTATTAAATCGTACAAAAGGCTTCATGTCACTGAATTGTAAAGGGAGTAATACCTAAACCACACATCACGGGTCGAACCACACCCTCTTTTTTGGCTTAAGGGTCCCTAGATTATCTAGTATCTCTAAGACGTTGATTTTTACATAACAATCTGTCAAAATTCGTACTTTTATGAAAACCGTTACCGAACAGCAGAAGTTTCATTTTCCAAATTTTAGAGTTATAAGACCCCGACAAATGGTTCGAGTATGTCAAATTTTGGGCCCGGAAGGCCCTGTTTCCCT